CCATTGGTCTATCTGTCTATTTTTGTGCCAATACCAAGCTGTTTTCAGAACTATGGCTCTATATTAGAGCTTGAAGTCAGGGATGGTGATGCCTCCAGAAGATCCTTTATTGTAAAGAGTTGTTTTGGCTATCCTGGGTTTTTTATTTTTCCATATGAAGTTGAGTATTGTTCTTTCAATGTCTGTGAAAAACTGTGTTGGGATTTTGATGGGGATTGCATTGAATCTGTAGATTGCTTTTGGCAGGATTGCCATTTTTACTATGTTGATTCTACCTATCCATGAGCATGGGAGATCTTTCCATTTTCTGGTATCTTCTTTAATTTCTTTCTTTAAAGTCTCAAAGTTCTTATTGTACATAGACCAGCATTTCTTATCCCTTTCTTGCATAGAGGTCATAAGGCAGGAGCTCATTGATTCTGAGCATTCAGTCATTACAAGGACAATTTATAATGTTTCTTCAAGAGCTACTTTGTAACATCTGTTTTTGTACAGCATAGATTTCTATAGCAGCTAATTTTGCCCTATGTTTATAGATCTCTATTTTCTACATAACTTTGGAAAGTCCATAACATTTTTTATCTCTCCTTGTGGCTTGATTAATTCATAGTAATCTTTTAATTTTTTTTTTTTTTGCTTTCCCGAGACAGGATTTCTCTGTGGCTTTGGAGCCTGTACTGGAACTAGCTCTTGTAAACCAGGCTTGTCTCATACTCACAGAGATCCACCTGACTCTCCCTCCTGAGTGCTGGGACTAAAGGTGTATGCCACCAACACTTGGCAATTTATAGCAATCTTGACTGATGTTATCAGAAGCTAAGTGTTTTTAAAAACTCATGAATTTGTTCCACATTTACTTGTTATTCAATAGCTACTTTGAATATTTCTATGAAATTAGTATAAGGTCCAGAGGGATTTTGTATATGTTTTATGTAACAAGACACAAAGTCATACTCCACATCAATTTTCATCCAAGCAATGATAGACAGCTACATCCTTAATGTGTGAGAGATCTGCAGGAGGCATATTAAGCAGCTGACAATCTGTTGATGCCCATGTACCAGTCATTGTCAACATTTTATGTGACATTTCTAGTATTAACCCTCAGTCTTAGCTGTAGAAATATTTTATGCACTTTATCAGAAAGATGCATCTTACACTTAAGGAATTGGATAGTCTTGCCTGGACTGTTTGTTACAGTATAAGCTAGACATACAGGACCCACAAGAAAGTGACTGCTAAACTCACAAAACAAGACAGTACTGAAGGGTTCCCATTGAAATGGAGAAATGTGCCAGACACACTGTGGCCTATGGGCTGAAGATGGATGCCCCAACATTACAGAGGAACTTTGGGTGACTGTCCAGGTAGAAAGATGTCTCTGGCAGTTCTAGAGTTTATATATTATCCTTCTGTGGTCTTTGATAGAGTTGAAGACAGATAGTTATGGTTATAGTTTTCTTCAGTTATTATAAAAAATAAGTTACCCTTCTCTTTATTTAGACAGAAATGAGGAGATGATGGGGAATGTACTGTGTATGTTTATCTTATTGATTATTAAATAAAATAGTTTGGCCAATGAGATAGCAAGTTAGACAGAACTAGGAGTCAAAGATGATTCTGGGAAATGTAGTAGAGAAGTGCTGATCCAGGCAGGAAGTGACATAGCAAGGAGACTCATATTTAAGCCAAGGAGAAACAGGAAGGCTCCCCTTTTCACCTTCGCGTCCTCCAGCAGCAGGATGTGAGCCACCGGCAAGAGAGGATGCCAGCAAATGACATCCTCTATAAAGATAAGTCTTATAACATATATAGATTTATGATAATTAAGACTGAGCTAGCAGATGAGAAGTTCTAGTCATGGGCCACGCAGCTTTGAACCTAATGCAAGTTTCTGTGTATTCATTTGGGCCCTAACTTGGGTGGCATAAAGCACCCACGTGGCAGTGGGGCTCAGCGGCTATTGACAGAAAGATTTATCATAACAGGATAGAGCTAAGAACTATTTTAACAATTATATGAACATCATATGGAAACTATTTTACATTTTTGTTCCAGTCAATAGATGTTAATAACTACATGGAGCAGTAGGTCCATATGAAGCACAAGCCTTCTTAAAATCTTTCATTATATCCAATTCTAGTCCCTGATGAATATTTTGATTTATTGAAATTTCACTGGAAATACTAAGTTCAGCTCAGTAGGCCAGGGAGGAATTGGTAAATTAATTCCTTTCCCTGCCCTGCCTTAGCTTATCTAGGTTGTAAAGTTGGCTTTTTCATAGGCTCTCCTAATTCCTCATCAAAAAGTAGAGAGAACTCAAGATTAGATTAGACTGATTATCAGATTTCTCAAGCCATGCTTCAGGATTGTCTTTAGACAATACAGGAAATACATTTAAGGGGGTTTCCAGTAAAGTAGCTGAGGGAGCTATCACCTGCGTAGTTGCCACAGGTGCTGTTTTTACCTTTGATTTTACCTACACTGGGAAAGTCATCTCTTTCTCTTTTTTGCCTCTTTTACCCATTTTAAGATGTGACCATCTAGTTTATATTCATGTAAGGAATTATCCAATCTTCCTCATGATTAATAACCTTTGTTATTACATATTTTATTACATATTTTATTCAGAGTCCAAATCAATGCCTAATTGACCCAACAATGAATTGGGATCCTCTCCTCTTATTTATATGCCATTTCAATATTCATTCAGACTCTATCCCATACTTCATCTAAAGTGCCTTCTTCTGGAAACTAGGGATTATGATCCCAAGCCATTTGTAGGCAGTCTAATAGTTGTGATTTTGATACTAGTCCTCCTCCCTTCAAAATAATAATAATAAAGATGCACAAGCATTGACATAGGCAAAGTCTTCCCTGGTTTCTGCCTCGTTATAGTCAATAACCTCCTTCTGTGAGGCTCCTCACTCTCCTATCATGTAGCCAAGTTTAGTTCTCTGTGCAGGAGCCACTTGTCACAGCTCCAGAGAAAGTGGATCTTGGGAGAATGGAGCCAAATATTAGGCAGACTAAAGTCTGATGTGATAGTCAACTTTACTATCAGACAATGTATACTCTGAGGGTTAGGAAGGGGCATATAAGTGAAGATAACTTGAATTGAAACAATATACAATCACAAGGACAATCTATGTATGACAAACAAACAAATGAACACATATTTTTCCATAGAAGCTGTCTGAGGTAGGTTTTTATTGCTGTGAAGAAAGATAATGAACATGGCAACTCACAATGAAAACATTTAATTGTGGTGGCTCACTTACATTTCCAGGATGTTCGGTCCATTACCATCATGAAGGGGAATGTGGCAGCATACAGGCAAATGTGATGCTGGAGCTGAGAGTTTCAGACAACAGGAAGTCTACTGAAAGACACACAGAGGGAAGCTTGAGCAGAAGAGACCTCAAAGCCCACCCCCACTGTGGCACACTTTCTCCAGCTAGGCCACACCTCCTAATAGTGCCACTTCCTTAGGAGGCCATTTTCTTTCCAACCACCACAGAGGCACACAAAGCACACACCACTGTCTGCTATACCTGGAGTAGACACTCCCCTGTCTGCTACACCTGGAAGGAAGATGAAAATACATTCCAAAAAATTCTTGTGTTTTGAAGAAATTGAGGTCACAAGACTATCATCCTGTTTTATTAGAGTGTTCTCTCAAACACTCAGAATTCTCCTCATGTGACTCCTTTCCTGGACCATGCTCCAAAAGTAGACTATGCAAGGTTACTCCTGTGTTGGGTCAGATGACTGACTCCATATTCCCATTGACCAATATTATGGCATTGTTTCAAAGAACTCCAGACCAGAGAATACTGTGGATCAGGAATATTTGTTATGAATTAATAAAGACAGAAACTTGAAATTCATTAAAAATAGCATAGGACAATAAAATAAAAGTAAACTGTAAAGCATTTAAAATATAATATTAAAAATAGACTAGGAGAGCTATCAATATATATTTATATAACATATAAATTATTAGTAATTTGCTGTGTTTTCTTTTCATTCCTCTCCCCAAACTCCCGCATATCCATGGTCTTTTCCTAATACATAGCATCTATTTTTTTCATTAATGTTGTTATATACACATATGCACATACATTTAAATTCCAAAATGTAACCTGTTCAGCCTGTATAAAGTTGAATTGGGCTCTAGAAATAAAGATTATCTAACCTTTAACAGGTTCTTTGGAAATTTGATGGCAAAACACCAGACACCTTAGGACCCAATACAAGAATCTTCAAATGGCTCCCCCAGAATGACCTTCTAGGTAAGACTCTGGAAAGCAATCCTATCCTAGTTGACTTCAATACCCTTTATATTACATTTAGTGAATATATTATTTATTTAAGATAACAATATCTGACATGCACTTGGTCTTTTTTTAACACTCAATTTTCCTTATCTACCATGTAATCCAGGTGTTCAACTGGAAATCAGTATTTCATAGTTTAAGTCTCAATTCACAAGTAAATTTGCAAGATATCTGTCGGTACATTTAGTTTCTTCTGGCTCTGAATAGGAAAACATTAATACTGAGATTATGAGTTTAAGAATTAAGAATCTTCTTTAGATTTTCTTGTGATGAGAAGGGAAGGTAAACTGCAGTCATGATGTAAACTAAATTAATAAATCCAATTATTAAAAAAAATCTTCATGTAGAAAAATATCCTTTCAATTCCTCATAGTACACATTTCTCACTTCATGTCTAATACTACTAAGGGGCCTCTGGTAGTCGATCAGTATCCCTAGTATATGAATGGACTTTGGGATCCCATTCCACATAGAGGGATACTCTCTCAGCCTAGACTCACAGGGGAGGGCTTTGGCCCTGCTTCAAATGATGTGATAGACTAGACTGTGATGATCCCCCCTGGAAGGCTTCACCATCCCTGGGAGGGGAACAGAAAGAGAATGGGATAGGGGGTCGGTGAGGGGCAGGGGAGGAGAGCAGGGAGAGGGAACTGGGATTGACATGTAAAACAAGCTTTTTTATAATTTAAAGAAGATATAAAGGTTAAAAAAGAAAAGATTGCTAATTAATGGTAATCTGAATTCCTCTTATTCCAGGTCATCCAAAAACCAAAGCCTTTGTAACTCATGGTGGAGCTAATGGCATCTATGAGGCAATTCATTTTGGAATCCCTATGATTGGCATTCCTTTGTTTGGAGAACAACATGATAACATTGCCTACATGGTGGCCAAAGGAGCAGCTGTTGCATTAAATTTCAGAACAATAACAAGGTCCGATTTGCTCAATGCACTGGAGGCAGTCATAGAGAATCCTACGTGAGTATAATCTTTTAAAAATGTGTATTCATTATTTATTTATTCATTATTCAATGTGATTCTTACTGAAGGCCACAAGGGCAAGTATTATCCTAAAGGCAAAAATAATACAGAGACAATTTAGGACATGATTCAGTGTCATAGGTTTTTCCTCTCTTTTGTTATTGTTTTTTATTTGCATGTTATACTTTATGTTTCTTTCTTATGTAAATCTGACTGGCCCTAAATGTGTAACTACTTCATTTCCAAACTGCTTGGCCAACAGACATATGTCAACAGCTTTTGCCAATTTTTCTTTTCAATTCTTTTAGTGAAGTAACTGATCAGAGATTTAAGGTTAATATAAAACTTAATATTCATAAGTGAAGTAAAATGAAATGTTATGTGTGGTACCAGATGTATTACATGTAGAAGCTTTAGGGAAACATTACAAAAGAGAAACTTGAATGTTATAAAAGAAATATCTAACTTTTATAGAAGTTGTAACATTCTGCATTGAAATAACATAGATACTAATATAAAACGAAGTGTTTGAATAAATGTTTATATATGCAGTCTGTTTTAGGACAAATTCATATAGTGAAAACCTATTAGAATGAAGGAAAAATGGATATGCCCATCATTATTTTTCTTTGATTTAAAAAAATCCATGTGGAAGCTCTTTCCTGGAAACACTATTTCTCTCCTACTCTTAGCATTGCTTAAGTGCCTGTAATAATTTTGTGTAGAGTTCTGACCAGTGTGAGATTGAACTCTTTCCATGTTAGCATGGCTATTGCTGTCATACTTTTTCAGATCTTGTTTAGGGAACTACGTTGTTGAGAATGACTATTGGTGTTGCCATTATTAAGATCTTCTTTAGATATCTATATTGCTGACATTTCACCATTAGAGCTTATCAAAGATGCAAATTCACAGCAAATATCTTGGCCTTCTCTGGATTTTAAAATCTTTCAATCCTCTCTTCTGTGATGTACTATGAAGGTTATTTTTCTAGGAAGGGGCTTTCAAATGAGTTCCAGCTCAAAGGTCCCTGGGTTCTGTTTCTTAATTGCATTCTCTTTCAGCAATAGAAAGTTACCTCCTATCTCTGGAGAATAAGCAGCAACAATAGGCTATGCATTTTGGGAGTCTATTTGACACCCATGGCCAACATCTTAAAAGAGGGTTTCTCATGTCTTGTGTTGGGGTTTATATTAGGTCATCTTTGTCTTTTAGATGGAGCACAATCAGTCCAGATGAGAAAAGATAATTAACTATAAATGTATATTTATATGTGGAATTGCATGTGTTATGGGAGATTTGGATAAATTGTTAATATTACAATATTTATGGCTTTTTCTGACATCCATATTGTTAATTTATTATTTTCTGCCCTTTGCTATTAACCGCCTCTCCCTTCCCTATTGAGCCTTCCCTCTTCCCATTTCCCCATCAGATACGTTTCATGCTAAATTTTAAGAAAATGTAATATGCATACTAAGAGATGGCAATTATTTAATGAGAAGAAATATCTCTCATTTTGCTTTTAAATATTAAGACAGTAAATCACTATTATTAAAATTGCTATTTCTTTTTCTTTTCTTTTTTTTGTTTTTGTTTTTTTGTTTTGTTTTGTTTTTCGAGACAGTGTTTCTCTGTGTAGCTTTGGAGACTATTCTGGCACTCACTCTGGAGACCAGCCTGGCCTCGAACTCACAGAGATCTGCCTGCCTCTGCCTCCTGAGTGTTGGGATTAAAGTTGTGCACCACCAACGCCAGGCTACAATTGCTACTTCTGCTACATCAAACTGACAATAGGGTTGATGACTCATTTCTCTATGTTACCCTTCTTCTTTATATACTCATCAATAATTATTTTAGTATTAGAATCAAAGGCAGCTACAACACTTCAGTGTGGAATTTTTACAGCTCTCACTTCTAAAATTACAATGATATCAAAAAGTGAATATCAACAATCACAGCAAAAATTAAGCTTGAAAGATGGCTCAGTGGGTAAGTTAAAGTCTACTCTAGCAGAGGACAACAACCATGTCAAGTGATTACCAACATCTGTAACTCTAACTCCAGCAAATCTCATTATACAGACAGACAGACAGACAGACAGACAGACAGACACACACACACACACACACACACACACACACACACACACACATATAGCCAAATTTTATTGCGAATCTACTTTACAATAAGAATAAATAATTAAAATTCCCAGTGCTGTCATAGAGAAGAAAGATACCCTTCCTATCAGTTTCATAGGTGATAACCTACATGAAAGCAATGGGAAACAGCTATTATAGCTAATTAACAAGAACCAGGACACTTTTGTAATTATAACCACTACTCATTGATAGCATTCTTTAGAAATATCATTTCAATGTTTATCATTTTTACACAGATATGTACCAAAATGGAAACTAGAGAGGGATTTTCTTTCTACTTATACATCCTGACACTAGTATATGCTTTGAAAACAAAGTTTATTAATAATTGCTTATGGTTAACTGAAGTTTTATCTACTCAAATAATATCTCATTTTGATATTTTGTATTTAGGACTAGCTGTCTCCAAACTCTACTTTAGGAATATTTGATCTTCCCATGTTTCTTTTTAGATGCTTAATCTTTTTTTAGAGAATACTTTATTTGTTTTTGTAATCAAACCCACGTAGATAAGACTTTACATATTTAATACAGTGCATTACCCCTGTACAAATGGAAAAAATTAAGTTCAACATTTCTAGACCAATATGGCTGTTAATTTCTGTACAATGCCAACTCAACATGGTAAACTGGGATACTTTTTTAAAAAGTTGACAGCACAGCTAAAGTTTCCAAAAATTCAAATTTTATATGTATATATGTATACTTATATTTATATAAAACCACCAATAATAGCAGTGTCTTGCATGCTAAAAGAGCTTAGATATACCTGTGAAGATCTTCATATTCATGAACATAAAATATAATTCATTTTCCTTCTATGTTTGTGTAATTTGCTTTACTATCTACACAAGAAAATTACACATGTGCATTTTTCATAAATTATATAAGCTGATGTCCCATTTTACTTCTTTCAGCTATAAAGAGAATGCAATGTGGTTATCAACCATTCACAATGATCAGCCCATGAAGCCGCTGGACAGAACCGTCTTCTGGATTGAGTTTCTCCTGACACACAAAGGGGCCAAGCACCTGAGGCCACTTGCATACAACCTCACCTGGTACCAGTACTACTCTCTGGATGTGATTGGATTCCTACTGGCTTGGGTGGCAGTCATAACTTTCCTTGTCATAAAATCCTGCTTATTCATTTATCAAAAATTTGTAAAGACAGGAAAGAAAATGAAGAATGAGTAGAGCTCTTTGAGAATGTACTACATGAACTAAATTTCAGCATCATTTTAATTCATCATTAATGAACTGCCTTCTAAACATTCACTGATTACTTGATCAAAGCATACCTTCTTTGGATAGAGGAAAGGGAAGGGAGAATAATGGAATTATATTATAATCCCAAATAAAAAACATGATAGAAAGAAAAAGGATGAGCAAACTGTAAGGAATAATCTAGTAAACAGAATTCCTCCACAGTATCTGCCTCAGGGCTGTCTCCTGATTCCTGCCTTAAACTCCTGACCTGCTTTTCCTCAGTGAAGTGCAGAGAGCCATGATGTAAAATAAACCCTCACCTTCATCAATTAAAAGTGAAAATTTGAAGAACTCAAACAAAGGAGGGCCCTGGACCTGAGTCAGGGCAGACACCACCATGATGAGCAAATATGTGGTGGAGAAATAAAGAGTAAAAGCAAAGGTAAAATCAAAGCAAGCCACAAAGTCTATTACAGTACCAAAGTACAGATTAGTATGGTTAGAAAACCGTAAGATAGTGTGCCATACAACTACAATCTCTGGCCATTATAATGAAGTTAAGTATGTTATAAATGATGAAAGTGTTTTGCTTTAACATTGGACATTACATTTTAACATAGATTTTGAAAGTAAACAAGGTATTAGGCTGGTATGTCAAGAGCTAACTGATGAAATTTTGTTGAATCATGTTAATAGATACTAACTTTTAGATTACTGTCCTAGTAGTATAATAAGATTTAGTACCTGCACCATAGCCCCACTATTTATTGCTTTGTGTTTTTCATTAGAGCTCACCATTCTGAGAGGTCAAGTGGAATTAATAGCTGCCTGCATAATTATGAGAAGTTGGCCTTAGGATATGATGAATCCATTGCTTCTGTTCTATGCTCTTATGTATATGCAAAGTCTCTGTCTGGTAATTCACTCAACTGAGCTGAAAATTGAACACTAGTTAGCCTTATTTCAGATAAATTTCTCCTTCCCTCTCCCCCTCCCTTTTCCCTCCCTCTCCCCATCCCTCCTCTTTCCTTCCTCCACCTCTCTCTCTCTCCTGTTGCACACACCTGTAAATCACAAAGTATAAACTCAAGGGATTCTTTTCTTTTGGTGCTTAGAGGTGCACTGTTGATTATTCAGTATTCATGAACACCCTCCCTCCACTTAATGACTTCTAACAAGATCTTGACAATCTGTATTCCCTGGAAGCTAAATTTAAGCAAGCTAAATGGAGGGGCTGCTTTGTTCCCATTCTAGTATTAGATATACTCACTCACTAACTTGCCTGATGTATTATGATTCAGTTTTCAACTTCTTGACCTATTCCAGGACTGGTTTCCTTTTTTTACATAAGGTTATCCATATATAAATTTTGTGATTTCTGTGAGTTTATATCATGTCATCTCTATTACTAGTGTAAATGAATGGTCAAGGCTGCTGATATATTGTTTTCTTTATATGTCTTCCTGTATTTCTTTCTATCTTTACAACAAATAAAACATGACCCAAAATTCCCTCTATTGGGGCATCTTCTGAGTCTAACATCTGATCAGTTTTGACAGGTGTACCATAAAAATCATTGACATTGGCGATTACTTTATATAATTTACATAAAATCAGCTCAACCAAAATTTGGGGGATATTGAGCAAAGATCAAAAGAGTAGAAGTGACTCCAAGATAAGGAAATGTCTAATATGTAGGACTTCTTATAGCCTTCCATGTATGATGTCCACATTCTCATTACTTGGGATTTGAACTGGTGAGTTATATATACAGATTGGAACTCATGGACAATAGCTATGGTTATGTCTCAGACTATTGGCCTATATAGTCATGCTATGCTTACAAGGTCATGTAGTTACCATGACATATTATGAATTATCAGGAAACATGGGATATGGCAAAGTATTGACTAAAATATATGGCAAATTTTTGAACCATCTCTCCAATATCATTAGCAACACTGTAATCCAAAACCCTGTTGGCTAACTAGAATTCATACTCATCTTCTACCTTAATAGGGAGAAGTTGTATTGCTTTGTTAAAAGATTTTAGATATAATATAGAAAGAACCCAGAAAGGGTATTTTTTGGGTAGATTTATAATAGTGCTTTGTCTATAAAAAATGAAAATTTTTAAGCAAAAGTTTAAATAATGACTAATACTGGGAGAATTATCCATATCTTCAAATTTTCACTGCTCTCCTTGTATACAGACTGGGTATACAGTAATAGGTTTTATAAGCATGCATTCACAAAACACACACACAGCTCATTCAGAAGAGACAATGACATTATTATTTGTGCGGATAAAATGAAATCCTGAGTGAATGTGGTATATTGACATTTCAGTACCAAGAAATGTATCTAATGCAAAAATTGCACCCAGAAGTAAAACTATTCTTGTAATAAGCCTGGGAATAGGTGTTTAGGAATTGATTTTCATCAGGAATATGGAGGGATTAGATCAGAATGCTAGAAGTAGAGCTGAATAGGCTATAGGGCTGTTGTAGAAAGAATCAGGAAGAATGTAACATATGGAAAATGTAAACAACTGAGGTTTGACTCATGAAAACTCAGAAAGGAAGGAGGACTCTATGGGGAGCTGAAATATAGGTCATTTAAGTTATGTTTTGGGCAAAGAATCTGGCTGCATTCAGCACATGTCGTGGGAAGATGATTGAAGACAAATTAAAAAGTATAGGGCTGATTTGTTTGGCAAGAGAAATTTAAAACAAACTGCACTCAGGATGTGGTATGACTCCTGCTCACTGCTTTAATTCAGATCTGCACTGAGATATAGCAGATAGTTATGAAAATTGGGAAAATTGTCAAGAAAAGGAATATGAAAAAATTTTAAGTTGTTAACAAGAGGGATACTGAAAAAGCAGCTATAATTGCTGAAGAAGTTAGCACCATTAGAAAGAAACCATGTGCCTTGTACTAGTCCAACTTGAAAAGTGCTTTGAAGGCATAACTCAACTATTGAATGCTCTATCTCATGAAAACTCAAAGCAATTAGAAAAGAAAGAGCCCAGATTAAGACTACTACACAAGGCATTCATTCTCAGAAACTAAATCCCAGAAATTTATTTAGTTAGGTTAACACATCTCCTGATACAACCATATTTATCTTGCCTCAAAAATTGGAAGTATCTTTCACATAGTGGTGGTTTTACAGACATGAAAGATGCAACACCAAGATGATCATAAAGGCCTCTTCTGGATTGACTGGTCTCAGACAGGATGTGAGTAATAGCATATGAGCCTATGCTAGGATGTCCTGATAGGTTATTGCATAATGCTATTAAGGTGAAGCCTAAGTGAGAATGGAGAAAATAGGCTCTTGGAAATACCAGGACCATGGGTCATCCACTAATAAGACCTATATGTAAAGACTATAGTACAAATAACAGAAAGATCCCTTATCCACCATATTCAATCTCTCCACCCAGCCAGGTCATTCATATCTTGTGCCAGAATCTATCTCTAGACTCTATCAAATCCTTCCTTAATGCAATAGGAATCTAAGCAGTAGTGGAGAGGCTACCTTAAATGCCCTTCCCTTATAATGAGATTGATGACTACCTAAAATGCCATTCTGGAGCCTTTATCCAGTAGCTAATGTTAGCAGAAGCAGAGATCCACAGCTAAGTACTGAGCCAAACCACTAGAATCCAGTTGTAGAAAGGAAGATGTGAAGAGCAAAAGTTCAAGACAATCTGTGAAAATCCACAGAAACAGCTGACCTGAGCAAGTGGGAGCTTATGGACCCCAGTCAGACAGCTGGTAAGTCAGCATAGGACTGAATCAGGCCCCCTAAACGTGGGTGTCAGTTAGGAGGCCAGGGTACTCTATGAGGCCTTTGGCAGTGGAACCAGTATTTATCTCTAGTATATGGACTTTGGGAGCCCATTTCCTATGGAGGGATACTCTGTCAGCCTAGATACACAGGAGAAGACCTAGGCCCTGCCCCAAATGATGTGACAGACTTTGATGAACCCCCATGAGAGGCCTCACCTTTCCTGGGGAGTGGACGGGAGGTGGGATAAGGAGTTGGTGGAGGGCATGGGAGGATGGGAAGGAGAGGGAACTGGTGTTGGTATGTAAAATAAGATTGTTCTTAATTTAAATAAAAAATTCTATTTTTATAAAAAAAGAAGAAAATGGTAGTGGTTATTATGTGACATTGTTTGGCTGGACTTTGTAACTTGGCTTTGATTTTATACAAGCTCACAGTAAAATGATTGTTTCAAATATCAGGAGACATTTTGGACTATGGCCTTTTAAACATTGCTGGAACTGTTAAACATGGCACATATTCAAAGTCTGAATGAGTGCATTTTAGTTTCTAAATTGATCATGAACCTATGGTACCAAATAAAGGAGTAAACTCTTTTCTTGGAAGTAACATGTTAGAATTTCAAGTTAGTTGGAAAAAGACACACATACAATAGAAAATACTGACTATTTGTCAGGATCTAAAGTAACTTAGTAGTCAAACTTCCAGACACTTCCTAGATTAGAATAATTGAGGTAGGAAGACTATTGCATAACTTTGTCTCTTAAAAGATTTTTACATACCAAAATAAGAATTTTTTAATTTAAATAGAAATTAATATAAAATTTTGTTATTGTTGTTCATAGAAAAAATCTTGTATGGGCCTATTGCAGGCAGTCACAGCTACTGGGAGGTAATGGCTACCTAGCTGTGAAGCAACTTCATACCTTCCTCCCTATGTATATGGTCACAATATTTGTATTTCCTCTTCTGTGATGTTCCTTCACCCATAGATATGGTTATACAAATGCCCTGTCTTGAGCTGAGCATTCAGCTGCCACTCATTCTCAGTATATTGAGCACTCATGCTTCTCTGCACTCATAGCTGTTCATTGAAAAGAGGGGCTTCTCTGACTAAGGCCCAGAAGAATGGGGGGGTATGAAGAGGAGTAAGTTTTTTCTTCTCTTGTGGAGCATGATATATGCTAAG